CGTCGCGGTGTCCGTGTTGGCGAGATCTTGGACGAGCCTCTTTTCGAGCGCAAGTTGCGTTCACTGCATGCGGGATATACTGCCCGCTTCGGCGAATTGGATTACGACGTTGAGGAGGAGCTTGCACGTTTCAAGGTAGGCTTTGGTGATTGTTGGAGCTTCGTGCGGACGATGATGCTGACGGCCCGTTGACAGGAGTACCGCCAGCGCCTGGGTCCCTACATTGTCGACCAATTGGCCTTCATGCAGAAATACAAGGATGCCTCCAACACTTTGGTTGAGGGTGCCAATGCTCTGATGCTTGATCTGGATCACGGAACTTATCCCTTCGTGACCTCCTCTTCGACCGGCTTGGGTGGTGCTGTCCAGGCTCTGTCCCTGAACCCCACCAGCATCACCTCCATCATTGGTGTTGTTAAGGCTTATACCACCCGTGTCGGCTCGGGCCCCTTCCCCAGCGAGCAGCTGAATGAATTCGGTGACAAGCTGCAGGGTGTTGGTAAGGAGTTTGGTGTCACCACCGGTCGCCGCCGTCGCTGTGGTTGGTTTGACATGGTCCTTTGCCGCTACTCGCAGGCCATCAACCACTACACTGCTCTTAACCTGACCAAGTTGGATGTTCTGGACGACTTTGACGAGATCAAGGTCGGTGTTGCTTATATCCTTCCTGACGGTACCCGCACGGAGAACACCATGCCTGCCGACCCCGAGGTCTTGGAGAAGGTCAAGGTCGAGTACGTCACTCTTCCTGGCTGGAAGACCAAAACCATGGGCATCAAGAAGTATGAGGATCTGCCTCCCAACGCCCGTGCCTATATCGAGTACATCGAGCGCGGTCTTGATGGGGTCCCGGTCAAGTGGATCGGTACTGGCCCTGCTCGTGACGACATGATCGCCCGCGAGTAGATTCCGCGCTCTGGTCGTTGAACCGGTTGGTTGTTTATTCTCATCTTCTCGTATAATATCCTCAAGCACCCAGTACCTTTATTTCTTTTACCATGTATGTTTCTATTCTGGATAATTTGTACTATTGTCTACTACAGTGAAACGGTAGACGGCTGGGTCGCAGATAAAACTAGAGTACAATATTTCCATCTCATAGACATTTTCAGATCGGATCACCAGTAAAACAAGGCCAAACAACGATGTAGTTACGTGCTGGAGCTTTTCCTGTTGGATGGATAGACCTAATGCCGGGAGTAAAAATAACAGGATCTATGGATGCTGAGGTCTAGGCACAAAGTAGATATCCTTGCACTCGTGGCTCAGTGGTAGTAGCGTCGCACTTGTAATGCGAAGGTCATGGGTTCAATCCCCATCGGGTGCATCGCATTTGTCTTTTTGCTATTTTTCGTTTTTTACCTCTCAAGATAGCGTCAAACATCAGCGTATACGTTCGCAGAGCTGAACCGTTGTTTTTTTTTTTTTTTTTTTTTCTTGCTCCATGATTAGCCAGATAAGAGTACAATCGATTCTCATATGATCAATCAACCTATGTCCCAAGAGCTCAGATAATCTCTCCTCGTCGGCTGCTTCGGGAAACGATAATGCTTTTGCGCCTGAGGCAGAAATATATGCATTCTCTTTCCCACAGCCTTTCCAGTATGTACCCCAACGCCCCTCTACTGACTTAGCAGGGGCATTCTGTAGTTACCAGGCGTCAGAGCAGCCCACATGATTACAAAGGAGGAGAAGCCGATTTACCCCATCTTACATGCATCATTGCACATTCTTCCAGCTGTAGATGGTATTGCCGGGTGTCGGCCATTTTCGGCTGGGCGGAGAGCGACGCACCAATCACGGATCCGACAATGTGATGACCGTTTCCCGATCGGACTCCCGAGGTTCCATCCTGAGCCTCGAGTCTCAACTTCAACTTCTTGTCTCGCTGTAGCGCTGTCGAACCGCGATCACCGATTCTCACCCTCCTTCTTCGTTGCAACCCGACTCTCCCCTCCTAGATTATCACAATGGCTTCAATTGCGCGCCAGTCGCCCCTCCTCCGGCAGTCCTGCCTGTCGGCCTTCCGCGCCCCTTGGGCCTCCAAGAATGCCGCCGGCGTGTCGCAGGTCGTGGCCTTCCATGCCTCTGCCAACAAGCAGATTCTGCCTCCTCTGCCTCGTGAGTCGCCCGCGGTTTATCCGAGAAAACGTTTTGAGTGTGATTGTTGGCGGTCCACAGAGATTGTGCGGGGGTGTGGATGAGCTTTTGTGGGGGATAGACATGGGGAGGGGGCGATCGATTGGAACTCATGAAATATATGGTGATGCTAACATATCTATGAAACAGAGTCCATCCAGGGAACCAGTATGTTATCTTCATCAATTAACCTTCCTCAAGCCTGAATTCGGTGTGCGATGAGAAGATGGCCTTGTTGGCCGTTGAAGAGCTTCTGGTCCATCGAAGAGAAACCTTCGATTTTCCGCAGCGCATCGATGATGACCATGGACAGTTCGAAGGACATGACTTTTCTAACGTTGGCTCTTTCTCGACTTTTAGTGAACGACCCTGCTCCCATTCCTCACTCCCACCCCGTCCACGGTAGCTACCACTGGACCTTTGAAAGGTGCGTCGATTCGGGTACCCGGGATCACAAAAATGGAACATAGCGCTGATCATTTATGTATAGACTCGTCTCCGCCTCCCTCGTCCCTCTCTGCATTGCTCCCTTCGCCGCCGGCTCTGTGAGCCCCGTCATGGACGCTGTCATCTGCTCCGCTATTGTCGTTCACTCTCACATTGGTTTCGAGTACGTTCCTGTTATATTGTCGTCTTTGCCCGAACCAGCCAGGAAGCTAACCCTCGCTCTTTAGCGCCTCTATCACTGATTACTTCCCTGTTCGCCGTGTGCCCAAGACTGCCGCATTCATGAAGTGGTTGCTGCGTGCCTTCACGCTCGGCACAGCCGTTGGTCTGTACGAGTTTGAGACGAACGATGTTGGTGTGACGGAGGCTATCCGCAGGGTGTGGAAGGCATAAATTCGGGGTGGTGTTCTTGTTTGATGTTTGTTTTGTTGAAGGCGTTTTGCCTATGTATATGCTGTCTTCTTTTTCCTCTGGTAGATGCCAGTACTGAAATCTTTACTACCCTGGAGCATAAAATGAGTGTATTGTGTATGTGATTGATCTGGTTTGAGATTATTCCATTATTTTCTTTTTTTTCTTGACCTGTAACTCTCTTCTCTATTGTTATCTAAACGCCCAGCGCAAGATTCAACTGTATGTATGGCCCTGTCAAAGTAAGGCAAGTAAGTCACGTAGATCTCGAACATGTGTGTTCCTCTTCCAATTGCCAACAAATCGGTTGGTCCAAACAACCGATAGCCCTTTCCACCAACTTACTCCTCGTCTTCCAACAAATCCTCCTCCCCACCGGACAAGCGATCATCATCATCCGCCTTAGCCACCACCCTCTCCATCAACTGCAACGCCGACCGCAACGGCAACCCCACCACATTATCCCAGCTCCCCTCGATCCTCTCGACTAAGATCGACCCCAACCCTTGCAACCCATACCCACCGGCCTTATCCGCGCCCTCCCTGGTGCGCACATACGCCCACAGCAGCTCATCCGTCACCCCCTGATCGAACTTGACGTCCGTCTCCTCCAGCGCCGTCTCCAGCGCATACCCGGGGTCGCGGGCGCTCACGAGCGGCGCCATCGCGCACATCGCCGTGTACACCTTGTGCTCGCCGACGTCCCGCAGCGCCTTCAGCATGGTGAAGTGGTCGGCCTCGGAGCGGGGCTTCTCCAGGATGCGGCCCGACGCCGTGTCGGCGATGATGGTGTCCGCCGCGAGGATCAGGCCCGGCTCCCCCTTGGCCTCGTTCATGATCTCCTGCCGGTAGACCGTCTGCGCCTTCTCCGTCGCCGTCGCCAGAACGTACTCGAACGGTTCCATCGTCTTCGGGAAGTCTTCCGGCGTGTTGGACGGGATGATCTCCAGGTTGGGCAGGCCCAGCTGCGAGAGGATCTGGCGGCGCCGCGGGGAGGCCGAGGCGAGGATGACGCGCTGGCTGCGGAGGTGGTTGAGGATGGGGAGCGAGAGGGGCGGGGGCCGCGGGAGCGACGACATGCGTTTCGTGGCGGTTGTGGTGATCGGGGTGGTGTCGTCGTAGGCCGGTGGGGGGTCGGAGGGGTCCGTGGGGTTGTTGAGGAGGGATTGTTTGCTGTCGGACATTTTTGACTCTCCTCTTTTGGGGGAGGGGTTAGGCGGCGAGTGGTATGGTGTTTCTAACCGAGATAAAAAGGTATAGCGGTAGAGAAGGAGAGAAAGGTTGAAAGAAGTATTAGACGGTGTGCAGATGAAATCCCAAGTTGGCTATGAGCGTTTCCCACATTCGGACGAATTTTGAAGCTTTTGGTAATCGTCCACATCTAGGCGGTCAATCACGGCAGATGGATGGGAGGGGGGGGGGACTATCAATCAGTCAATGCAGGCAACAGGCAAGGGGTTGGCTGTCTGGGCTGCTGTCCCACTTAAGTCGTGTTACATCTGAATGCGATCTCCCATGCTGCGTAGTATTCCTAAATGGGTGCATCATTGTGTGAATGGAGAGTTCTCGCTTTCGCCGGTGTTGCTCTTGTAAGATGATCATATTTGCTCTGAATTGCACTAAGGACATATCATGGTCTGGGCAATCTGTTGACCTGCAACAGAACAGCTGTATCCTCAAGGGAAATACCTTCGGAAAATGCCACATGAAACCCACCGATTCTCATTTGTGATCCACAGCGTCAATGCCCTACCCAGAGCCAAGCTAGGAATCAATATTGACGCCGAACACCATACAATTCCACTTCATGAAGAAGCGTCGTATGCGATAAGAGATCCCAGTAGGTGCGACCAAACCGTGACGCGCCGAACAGAAAGGCTGTGCAACCAAGTTCTCCTATAGCATCACACTGGAACATTGAGCAAGCGAGCAGTTCCAGACTGCACCTTCCTCTCCTTGATGTTCAGACTCTGGTACCCAATAAAGCGGAAGCTGCTCCATATCTCCCAATCATGCCCTTTCCCCCCTCCCCCGTATCATCATCGTAATCGTCATCGTCATGAATAGTAGCATCGCTCATATACAGTCAGTCAACCACGTAGGTCAGACCCGAAAGGCATCGTCAATATGCCCGCCCCGGCGTTCAATCTCTGCCACCAACTCCTGGCGCTCCTGGAGCTGTAGCTGGATGAAATCCACCGTCTTCCGAAGCACAATACTCTCACTGCGCCCCTGCCCCTCCAGGCCAGGGACAAGCTCCGTCAAACGATCGAACCCTTCCCGAATTGCGGCGCGGCGCTTCTGCTCCGAGGCGATATGATTGTTCTTTTTCTCTTGTTCCGTCAGTCGCGGTTTCTCCTTCTCCTGCGCGCCAGCAGCAGTGGGTTTGGATGCAGAGGTGCCGGTTGGGGTGGTTGAAGGGGACCGGTCCTCGGGTTCATTGCGGGGTACCGTTGCGCTGCTGTTCGGTAAGGGGGAGTAGGAGGTTTCGGAGGAGCTGGATGCCAGGGAGGCAGGTGGGCGTGCAGATGGCATAGTTTGGGGGGGGGAGGGGGGAGGTTATGCGTTTCTTAGGGTTCAAGGGAGTTTAGTTTCTTTCTTTCTTTCACCCCTTCCGTTCTTGTTTCAGCTGCAGTATGGGTTTCAGACGTCAGATGCCTGAGATTGGTGTAAGAGAGTTATACGCGTTTTATTGTTTGAGGTCCTGAGGTTCGTGGGAAAAGGAGATTATCATGTGCGTGTGCGGGTGAGTCGGATTTTCATGTGACGGACTGCCGGACTGGGGGCGGTTGTGGCTTGGCTGCGACGGAAGACAGTAGTTACCCGTGGGGAAGTATAAGTTAGACTCGAGTCGACTAGATGATGATGGGATTGAAGCGAGCTCGGCCTTTCGTATGCGAAATGGATACGATTGAGGATTTATTCTCTCGTGAAGAGAGATGTCTCTGGTGATCTCCCAGGGGTAAATTGACCATGGATCTGGACCTGGACCAGGGGAGGAAAGAGAGAAGAAAGACCCAACATTTGGGTTGGTTGTTTGTTCCTCAGGCACAAGCCGGTGATGTGCCTGGGGCCCTGGAACCAGCCCTGACCTTTTCTTCGGCCGGCGGCAGAGCGCCAACTGGTCAATTGTTCCGGATGTCTCCACGGGCAGCCGATAAACGTCATCGATGGTTCAGGTTGCTTCTAGATCAAATGTGGACTTCACCATGCCACCCTCTCAGAGCCCCTCGATACATGCCTATTTCTTCAAGGCTACCCCCGCCGCCCAGCGCATCGGCCTCCCCTGTCTTTCCTGTCATCAATCCCATCACGTTGACTGCGAACCTTGCAGCAATTGATCTGGTTTGGTTGGACCCCAAATTCCCCAATATATGACCTCATACTCGCACTACGGTCTCAACGTGAAGGCTTCTACAACCAGGTAGACCTTATCAACGGCGCACACGGCTTCAGCAGCCATGGCTGAGCACGTACCACTACGCGGATCTTGCCAATGCGGCCGCAATCAATATTTGATTCGTCTGCCTGATGATGTTACCGACCATGCTCACGTCTACTTTGACTCCAGTCAAGACAACCGTAAGTTTTCCCGGTCTGCGGCGGTGCGCTATTTTGGAAGTTGTGCCGCCTCGGATGAAGTGATAGCTTCTTGGTGGAATAAGTACTGACATCGTTCCAGGAAGATTCCACGGCTCACCGTTGACGGCATGGCTTCGCGTCCCATTATCTTGGTACCAATCCCACACGCAATCCTTTTTTCCCGATGAAACACATGCAAGTATCCGGCGCATCTTCTCCCCGCACCATGCGCCTCACACTCAGCGGGTCTTTTGCGGATTCTGCGGCACCCCACTCACATACTGGAGCGAGGTGCCCCGGGATGAGGCGGATTTCATGAGTGTGTCTCTGGGTAGTCTTTTCGGCGAACATCAATGTAAGCTGGAGGATCTGGATCTACTTCCCCCAGCTGTCCCTTCTTCTGATGACGAAGATGAAGAGGAGGACGACGAAGTTGAGGAAGTGCCAAGAGTTGGCGAGGTTGAAGTGGAAGACGCGGACGAGGAAGAGGAGGCGGCGGAAGCGGAGCAGGAACTCGAATCTGAAGGCGAGGTGGTTGCTGTTCCGGCGACAGCGTCCAGTGACAGTCCCACTTCGACTCGTGTAGTCATTCCTGCTGCCGCGGGGGGCGACGGGTCTGGTCTCTCACGGAGCTACAGGCAAGGCACCTTCGGCGGGATACCGTGGTTCGAGGAAATGATCGAAGGTAGCCAGTTGGGCCGTTTGATGAAGACAAGACGCGGGGTGGGTGTTAGTGACGACCACTCGACGACCGTCGAGTGGGAAATTAGTGAGTGGTCGAGCGATGCGACTGGTGCGCAGAAACCGGCTGGCGTCGGTTTGCCCCTTCAGGCAGGCAAACGGAAACGCGGTCTATAGATCCTGCTCCTAAGATGACTACTTGAAACTGCAATAGCTCAATAGCTCAAGGTAGCGTACATAGTAAATGACTGCTCTTGTTAACGTTCCTGATTTATATAAGATTCATAGTATGCAGAAAGGAATTAGAGCAAACATCCACATTGACAGGCATATCCGTTGAAAAGCCTGCTGTGGTCAACACCGTCCATAACAATTCTAGTACTATTTGTATCTTGCATTATATTAGGATATAGAGAAGCCATCATGGATAGCTGCAGTGCCTGCCAAGCATAGCTCCCGTTATGCCTTATAACAGCCCTGGGTCAAAGAGCTACACCGCTGAACAGCACTGTAGCATAGACAAAGCATAATGCACCCACTACAGCACTGATAGATTTCCTGGCATATTCTGAAATGCTCTGCAGTGCCTGCTTCGTGCCTCAGGCGCCCAGGCTTAAACCTCGCGCGTTTCCCAATTGGGTAACAGGCTGTTTCTGAATACAACACAGTGAAGAGAGCTTGTTCTGTCTCTCACTTGGTCACCTCAGCAATCATAATCTCTTCTTCTCTTCACCCTCATTCTTCTTTATTCCCCTCATCCGAAGTTCCTCAAAAGACCTACCATCGTACCCTGCTACCCTTCATTGAACACATATCCAACAAAACTCTCCTTTGACTTGAAGCCTCTCTCTGGTGAGTGCACTGTATACCTCAAAAGTTGACTGCACGCGTCTAGCGTGAGGGTTCGTAACTCTCTGGTGTTGTTGAAGAGTGAAATTTGTCGGTCATGTTTTGTATCTCATTCTCGAAGTCATTCAGCATGGTATCAGGTAGATGCTAACCCTGAGTCCGGTATAGAGTTAACAGCCAAATCGGAATCCAGGAAGAGGCTTCGCGCCTTGACAAGACCAGGACGCAGAACTGGTGTCTTTCCTGTGATCTGGATCTGGGATTGGCATACGTGCATCATGTTTAATCCAAGGTCCCTACGGGGCTCCTACCCATATGACACATGCTCACCAACGCCGGCTATATACCGCAGGCTCATGACAATGCATCCAATGGCTGGACTTGAAGACAACGAGTCTGTGTCAACACTTGTGCTTCCCAGTGTCTCAGGAGAGGATCAAGGGACAACCAGAGCTCAGTGTTGCTCGAGTCCGCCTGATTCTGTTTTCGAGGACAGCGGGGTTCCATTCTTCGCTGGATTTTCAGAAGATTTCACCGTGGAGCGTGACGTTATACGCCCAGTGACTCCTCCACAATCTCCTAATTGGACAGTGCATCACACTCCTGAAGCAGACAGTCACACTCGCCCCAGTTCTTCGCATTGGAAGGACGCGTCGCAGTCTGACCCAAGGCCAGGCATACTGAGGGTAGTCTCAGACGTGCGGACTAAGGTTGGGAAGAACGTGTGCAACACTCCTCCCAGATCTCCTGCGAAGAAGAGCCTGCGTCAAAGCCTAGGTTCTTATGCCAGCAAGTTGCGAAGAAGAGGCCAATTGATCAAGAAACTCAAGGTCAGTCACTGGAAGATGTGATGAGATACAAGCAACTAACAGGATGATTTAGGGGCATCATCCGAGACGCACCGGTAGAATCTCGAAGCATGGAGAACTGCCATTGCCGCATCGTTCGGTTTTGCTTCCGGTCTCAAACGTATGTAGACGCTATGTGTAGGGCTTTTTGAGAAATTGTCACTGACGAGATCCAGTCAAATCAAGCTCCTGAACCTGGACAAGGACACTCTAGGTACTCAATCAGCGGTGACCTAAACGTGACTGCTTTGTCACCTGGGGGCCAAGTGCAGAGGACCCGCCAGGCAGTGGATTCAAGCAGAGGGGGCAGCGTTCGCTCGTCTCTGTTAGCTTTCTGGGACTGGCTTGTTTATGCACCTGAGAACACAACCCCAGTCCCCACGCAGCAACACGAAAGTGAAAAACATGCCAGACATCTCACCTCTCAGACACCTTCTTCTACTTCACCTTCTCACCATCTTACTCCTCCTTGTCCTCTTGAACTTAATACGTTCACCACTGCTACTTCGTTGTCAAAAGACAAACAGATCCCTACACCTTCTCCGCTATCACAAGAAAAATCTCCCATTGTATCCCCACTGAAAATTATTCCACCTCCTGGCTTTTCTGCAAGAGAAAAACCTCTGCACCACCGTAAGACAAACCTTCACAGGATGGCTGCCGACAAGCTTTCAATTGAGGATCCCTTCCAGGATCCTCGAACTCCTGAAAGACGTTACACCGGGCCATTTGGCACTACCCTTAGTGAAGGCATGAAAGGTAAGCTCTTTCTCCCAATAGCTTCATCTGCTGCCTTGGATCCAAGTGTTGCATTTATGACTGAGGGGGCTCTATGACTGAGACGCAACACGATGACCCTTCACGCTTGTTCCACACCACGTCTTTTTCGTGCTAACTTCTCTTTCTTTGGGACAGAGGCATATGAAATTGCACCATCCATGAAAAGCTTCTTCATGGAGAGTAAATCAGAAAGTTCATGCGGGAACGTCAATCATGGTTAGTGGACTGTATTCCATTCACATGGCAATCGGACTAACCATCATAGACGATGAAGAAAACTTGTTACTCTCTCAGAGACGTGAGGCCTCAGCCTCTCGCTCTACCTCGTATTCCATCGAGAGTAGCAAGCGCTCTCGGATCCCGATGGCTAGCTACCACCTCAGAGCACCGGCAGGGCCATCTTCGCTGGGAAAAGAGATGCAGACTCCCAGCACACATCGCAGTGCGATACCTGTGCCTGTTCAAAAACGCAGTGCATCGTCTCCTGCTCGTGCCTATGAAGCCACACTTACAGAGCCATGTACCGGAAAAGCTCCATTTATTAATGCTCCTTCCGCTCTAAGTACCCAGTCATCAGAGGGGCTGTTAGGTGCTACTACGTCCAATTTCGTACCTGCTACCGAGAGAGGACATGCTATCTCCACCTACTTGTCTGATGATGATTGGAATTTCGACGAGGAGACGCCGAAGCCACGACGTACCGTCTATACCGGCGAGTATCGTACCCCTGTGGCCGAGAGAACTGCCCAGCGTATTCATGGTCCTAGACTGAGAATCTCTTCGTCCGCAGATGAGATGTTGAGAGGTACAGGATTACAGTCTGTTGGATACATCTCAAGCCAAGGATCTGACTCTGGAGAGTACAAATCGATTGATAAGTCATCTTCATTCGAAAGAGGACAAGATGGCATTGGTGATACTGCGGGCAATTGTTGCCACCCCGTCAATTCGAATGATCAAGAAGGCTTCGAGTTATGCGAGGAAACTCAAGGGTTGGGTGAAGAGACTGAGGTTCATGAAAGCATGTCAGCGGCTCCTGCCCCGAAGAGCGTGCTGTCAGAGAAGATCCGGTCACAGGCTTCGGTGACAAAAGCTTCTCCTATCGGATTGCAGGAAATTGACACTCTGCTTCCCGTCGCATCTTCATACCTGAAGAAGGAACGAGATCAGACTCCGCCCAGTAATGAAAGCCATCACGATACTCAGCACATTGAGGATTCTCACATTGGTCCTACAGTTGAATCTTTCAGAGTTCAAAGAATTCACGCAGCTCTTCATTCACACCCCGTCAGACCGTCATCAGTGGAGGCTATGTATGAGTTTCCAATCCAGGGCACTGGTCTTCTCAAATCGAAACCTTCAAACGGAACCGATCAAGCTGCGACATTCAACAAAATCTTGTCTAAGACTATTGAGAACCAGAATACCTATATCGACGTAAGGGTACAGAATTCTGCCCCACGCAGTGAGAGAAAGACTACTTTCAGTATTCGAAACATGTTCAAGCCTCGCGCTGGTGCTCATAAGGAGCTCATAAATCCCGACAATGGTGGCAGCACTCGAAAGACTCCCATAACTGCGAAACCGATTCGGAAGGCCGTGAGTAGCAAGAACCTGGGCGCTGCCATGAAGCCATCGGGCCTTGGATGGAGCATAACTCATTCACGCAAGACTCACACCAGCCAAATCTCGAATCCGATACAGATACCTCTCGAGCGGCTTCCTGCTGGCTATAAACCTCTCCCTGGCCCCAGCACTCCTAATCTGGTGAACGTGGAACGAAACATGCCTACAAATCCCAGGATCCACACGCCCACAGTCGCTGGGTCCCGATCACGCAGACACGTTGTCACAGCTTTCAGTGGAAGTCCTTACCTTGCCAGCCAAACGTCGGATCCTTCAAGCAAGTCCATCCTGGGCGCAGCTTCTCCTTCGAGGATCCCTGTCCCCGTCACCCATGTTGGGGTTCAAACAGAGAACAGGCTTGTCAATCAAGGTGGCGGTGTGCACGATGGAGTGCTTGATCACTTCATCAAGAAGTACGGGAGGGGGGCTATGACCCCCCCCCAGCGCGACACCTTTTTGCGGGTAAGTCTTAACCGAGTGAAGACATCACTGAAGGATCACGTAGCTGACCGAGTTGTTCCTAGGCGGCTGTAGCCCTGATACAGCACCTCGAGGGCGTCGGGGCTGCCCAGAAAGCCCTGGACGAGGCAATTGCCTCGAAAGACAAGAGGCAGTCAGAGAAGGAGGCTGCTGAGGAAGCCCTCGAGCTGCTCGTACAACAGCTCGAGGGCTTCCTCAGCTAGCCTTCTAGCTGACTGCCTCTTGTCTTTCGAGGAGAAAAAAACAAAAAAAAAATTGAAAATAAAAAATGTACATAGTCTTAATGAAACTTGTCCGAGTATCACACTTGCTGCTCTACATTTCTACATTGTAGACTGATGATGAAGTGGAACAAATACCTTTGAGTGACCAATCAGTCAGCCTTAACCGAGGCTTTCATGAAGCTCCAGAGTGTAGACAGACACAGCTCGAGAGACATACTCTCAAAGAGGTGCTGTGTGTTTGCAAACCCAAGGCCATTGCCACTGGCAGCCCACGGCGATGAAAGTTCCTTCCCCAGAACACTTCTGAAGCTCAGGTAGTCGCTCCGGAGACTTTAGCCTCTTGGAAATCTTTTACTCTATCTGTTTTTATCTGTTCTCAGTAGCCTTCTTCATGTGTTGCAAGTATTTCTTCCATTCGTCTACTCCCATTGCTCTTATCACTTTGAGTCATGAATTATACGCACCTAGAGCTTTCGCCCAGCCAGGTAAGGCATTTCAGTTAACCAAGCTACTTCTGATTCTCAGGGAAGAAAGATGAAGAAGATCTGAGCAAACGCACTGATGGTAAACCCTCAAAGCTTGACCCTGCAGTGGTTTCGTCTTCTCGCCAATCCAATCATTGGGAGGGATCCAGATTGGTTCCATCAACCCATGGTCTTTCACCGGCTGCTTTGCCTGCACTCTTTCCGGATGCCTTGACGCCAGGTAGTGTATCCTTCCCGCCAACTATATCACCTAGGACTCTTCCTCCAGCTGTATCGCCTGAGCACTATCAGCCAGCTGCGGCGCCTGGTAGTTACTTCCCGCCAATTGTATCGTCTGGATATTTTCCAAACGGGCAGGTCATCTCGCCAACTCCGCGTCAAATACATCCAAACGTCACGCGACCGTCGCCTCCACAAAGATCCTATCCACAGATCGAAAAAGATCGTATGAACGGACAGCTATTAGAGCAAGACCGCTTATCATATCAACAACATACAGTAAGCGGAGCCGAAACCCTCCTATTTGAGGTTTACCAGTGATAACGCAAGTCAATGATTAGGTCCATGAGCCGTCCTACTTTGCTCCACATCATATCCTGCCACTACAGTTCGCTTTAGCCCCAAATACACTCCGATTGCCCGTGCAGAACCACCCGCAGTGCTATTCAATTGAAGCTACTCCTCAACCTGGAATGTCGAGACCATCATACCTAAGCCTACCACAACGCCCAGATTCACTACAACTCCTAGGCCCGTACGGAGGTGCCCCGGGCCAGATTCAGGATCACGGAAAAGCGGACGGTGAAAACAAGAGGCGTACGACATTCTACTACTCTACTCTTCGCCCTGAAGCACCCGAATTTATACCCAGCCGCATGAGAAGCAGCCACATGTTCGTGCCTCAGCCGTCTCATACTCACATTCATCCTCCTCACCTTCAAGGCAACAACAACCATGCCCTGAAGTCGAACCGGGGATATCGCAATCATGCCCCTTGTGTTCTAGAATACCCTTTCATTGTATGAGAGGAGGGATCCCTCGTGAATTTCTTCAGTCGCAGATAGACGGGAGGTGTCAGCCACAGTGTTGCGGGAAAGTCGACATAGATGAAAGCGGTTGCCGGTCATGAATAGAATTGCTCCCGGCGAACACGAATACACAATGAACCTTATCTTTCCCAAGGTATTGACAACGGGCTGGGGTACTAGCCTTGGTGCATAGCTAGGAAGTTATTCTTTGCCTGTGTTTTACTGCTTGCTTGCGTGGTAACAGCCATCATTCCGTTCTTGGTAGATAGAAGAATACCTGGTCAATTCATAGAACTATAGGGCTGACGCTGAGTAACTCCGTGCCATAGCCATCACATCATCTGCTAAGCAGTCGTTGTTTTGCAGAATGAATAACTAAGTGCGCTTCTTTCATAGAGGGTAGAGCCAAGGATTGAATGAGTAGCATATGACCGATGTTGACCTCCGAAGATCATGAGAGCAACGTATGCTGGACGAGATTAGCATAGCTTCAGTATGAGTATCGACATACTCAAGAGAATAGCGAGTGCGTGCGAGATACTACTGTGCAAGCGTCTAGAAGGCAACAGAAGGCAGTAGAGGTGTATACTTGGCAACAACTGACTGTCTTGGAAGAATTTCACAAGCATGTGCCACTGCGATGCGCACTCACCAGGGCATCTCCGGGCACCTGGCATTGCAGGGCATCTCGCAAGGCATACTCGATCAGGTTAGCCGGATCCCACGTGGAGTCGGGAAGGAAGCTGTCCACGCCGCGCCTGAGGCACCCGCCAACCCACTACATACACCTCTTTATCTCCCACGGCCGTGTCCCTCTCAACCAAGATCAGCCAGGTTGGACGAGAAAGATCTCCGGTACGACCTGCACCTGCTCTTGAATGAACTAATCCTATCATAGCTACCCTTTCGAAGCTTTGTTCTGAGCTCGAACGTTGGAAAGTCGCGGTGCTCAAGCCGTTCTTCGCATTGCTTACCCGTTCGAGTTGCCTCCATTCTGGGCTTGGCTCTCCTTATCCGACTGGGTCCATCTATCTATTGCTTGTTGCCCCCAGCATAGCACGATCGACCAGCCACTTCTGCACACTGCGCCTGTTTTAATATGGTCTTCTGTGGCAAGCCAAGCAAAGGCTGCGGGGAGTGCCGCACTCGCAAGATCCGCTGCGATCAGGCGCGGCCAACCTGCTCGCAATGCGCCAAGGGCAACCGGGTCTGCCCCGGATACCGAGACGAACTGTCCTTGATGTTCCGCGACGAAAGTCAACAGGTTGTTCGGAAGGCACGGACCGGGATTACAGCGCGCAAGACTAAACCAGCCAGCAAATCCGGCTCTAGTGGCCGGTTTGAGACTCCCTCTCGGGGTAGCAGTAGCACTACGAGTAGTAGCCCCAGCACCGCATCGGGTGACAGTAACATAGTGGACTTCAATGAGGACACGGACCTTCAACGAGAGCTTGCCACCCGGCGCCCCCTCGATCTTCAGCCTTCGTATCAACCTACCAAGAACGAAGCTATCTGCTTCTTTCTGAGCCAGAATAATTGGATCGGAAGCGTCTGGATGAGACCAGACTCTGCCACGGAATTCATCCTCGATCTACGGACCTCACTCAGTCAGCAAGCTATGATGGCTAGTATGACTTCTGCAGGAATGGCCATGCTTGCTCGCGCCAGGCGATCCAATCCCCTAAGAATTACCTCAGAGAAAGAGTACGGACAGGCGTTGCAACTGCTCACTTCTGCTGTCACCGATGAGAAAGAGGCCAGGGACAATTCTACCCTGGCCGCTGTTCTACTTCTAGCGATATTTGAGGTGCGTTCAACACCAAGGTTCTTCCCCTTTCGCACTCACAGCGTCTGATTGGAGAACAGGTTGTCTCTAGTAGAGCCCCGCAGAATCTCGACAACTGGACAAATCATATCTCCGGGGCTGCTGCACTCTTGGAGTTAAGAGGTGTGGAACAACTTCAGAAGGCCGAGGGGTTGAAGCTATTCTTACAATTACGTTATCAGATTGTATGTTGATGTATTCCAGTATTGCCCCCTTCCTCCGCAGGCCTGACTAACGAGCCTGTCAAGATCATCAGCTGCTTGCAACGAGAGGCTCGAGTGCCGCAGTCAGTTCTTGACTGCGCAAGGGTGGCCCAATTTCTGCGGCCTCAGACCGAAGCTTATAGCGACCGATTGATCAGTATAAGTGGCCGGCTGGCCAATCTCCGGGCAGATATACGTGATAAAGTCATCACCGACTGTCAGGAGATCTTGTCCACTGTTTATAGCATAGAAGGCGAATTGATGGCATGGCTTGCGGCTTTGCCGCCTCGATTTCTGTACACCACCATCGAAAGCCCTTGGCCTACCCAGTCCGATTGGGGTCTCAACTCGTACAACAACCGATTCCACGTGTACCAAGACCTATGGCTCTGTCACGCGTGGAACCAATATCGCTGTGCTCGAATCATGATCAGCGAGTACATCCTCACTTACACATACCGACTGAACACCAATACGACTCTCACTCCCGATCTAGCTAGTCATCTCGCGCAGGTTCGCGACAAGGCTAGGCAGTTGGCTCTCGACATATGCGCCAGTGTGCCCTATCACTTTAGCGCTGACCTCGTTACCGGCGAGGCTACTACCTTCAGGACGGTGACATTGGAATATGGCTTCATCCGTGGCATGATTCTTCTGTGGCCCTTATTTCTTGCTGGCGCTACTGAGCCGAAGGGCCATTCCCTACGCAAATGGGTGGTTGATTGTTTAGCGCTTATCGGTAACCGCCTGGGCATCGATCAGGCTTTGGCCCTGATTGATATTTTGGAAGCCGGCGAGACGTTCGATGCCCTCGGGCAGACGGACGTTGAACATATTCATGAAAGGGTGACAGCACTTGGCTGAGACGCTTCTAGTCTCGACCCCTTGAGGGATAAAGCGTCTGTGCATCTTCTTACCAACAGCCTTGAAGGCCGGTACGATTTGATACCTAGTGTATATATATGAACATAAATAAGTTATGTGTCGAAAGTGATGAATGTTTGGCGATTTGTACAGATGTACGTCAATCTAGTTACACGTGACTGGCTTACTGACATGGATTCGCTAGCGAAAAACACATCATGCAATCATAACTTCATAATATAGGTCCCATTTCGGTCTTCGTTATCCGTCGCATGACCAAGGTTCGGGATGAGGCAGTGCCAATATGCGACAAGGGTAAGTTATTAGACTATTGACTGCGGTTTTTCGCCCCCCCCCCCCCGCCTCGGCTAGTAGGCTGTGCACTGCCTACCACCACTATCCGGTCTTCCGATAGTGTATGGTGGGTTCGAAACAAACAGCAAACAGCAAACAGCATCCATCAGCCTTACAGCCTCCCTATTACCCCTCAAGAATGTAGAGTACATGCCAATGCAGCCCTGTAGCTTTAGCATATCACTATCGCGCCTTGTGGAGCTCGTGGCCAACAGGAATT